CTATCTGGTACTGGCTTTTATAAGCCATCGTATCATCTAGGAGCCAGACGAAGGAAAGCTACTTTTGTTACCTTTTTTTCTAATAAACAACACCTTTTTTTCTAATAAACAACACCTTTTTTCCTTTTGTCATTCATACTATTGGGTACCTCTTCCTTATAGTTCCCACAGAAAAAAAGGAAAGTATCGTCACAGCTGTGGGCCAGACGTAAGAATGAATAATTCTAGTTTTGCAACGCCTACTCTTTACAGTCCAAGCCTGCCCTGTTCTAACGTGGTGTCCACGCTATTTACAGTGATTATATCCACTGTCACATTCGCGGCTCTGATTGGCAATGTTCTTGTCATTGCAAGTTTTCTCATAACTCCTAACTTAAGGACAAGCACTAATTATTACATAATCAACATGGCCATTTCTGACCTCCTTTGCGCATGCTTCAATTGGCCACTATATGCAGTTGAAGGAATGCTGACAAGAGCCGAGTTCTTCAACCAACGTTCGGCCTTAATTCTCTGTAAACTGGGAATTTGCTTCAGGGAAATTTCACAAGTGGTGTCCGTGTTATGCTTGGTTCTAACATCCGCAGACAGATATGCTGCTATCGTCCACCCTATGAGGCCAACGGTAATGAGAAATGGCAAAGTTAGAGTTATTTTATTGTTGCTTACTTGGATTATACCTTTTGGCTTTGCTTACCCGTATTACATGTTCACTGAAGTTGTAAAAGTAAACAACCAAACTTTCTGTAGAGTAATTTGGAATATATCAACACACACAGTTTTTAATGCTGTTGGATTTGTTATATTCTATTGTATACCTCTTAGTGTCTTAATTATTCTACATACTCGCATCACAAAGACACTTAAAAATCGCCCAGATATAGAAAACACAGTCCAAGAACAGCAAATCAGAAGAAGAAGAGAGCAGCATCAGAAAATTATGAAAATCTTGACATCGATTGTTGCCGGCTTCTTTATTTGTTGGACACCCCTTTGCGTTTATTTGGCATTGAAAATGTTTTATCCAGGGTTGTTTCTTCAAGATAGATGCTTCTTACTGTTGGGTTTGTTTTTCTACGTGTTTCCCTCACTCAGCACAGCAATCAATCCTTTTATTCTTTTCCAGTTTAGTTCAAAATTTCGACTGGCGATGAAAAAAATTTCGTTTTCCTTTTGTTGATTTCAGCAAATATTGCAGTTTCTCAGAATGCTCAGGAATAGGGTTAGAACGCTTAAATATATAGACCGTGTTGGTATGGCAGGGTTGCGTTAGATGTCTCTGATGTATGAGGGATTTGGGGGCGACTTTGCATCGCAATGATTCAGTAACAAAATGCTGCAGATCACAAAAGTAAAAAAAGGATGGTAACTTCTAAATCTAACAAAGATTGCAAAATATTGTGTGGGGATATAGAGTAAACAGATTTAGGATGTGTATGTGCACAAAAAGTGGTCATTGCGTCTTATCCTGACTACGTTTTCAGATACGAGAGTTACACATAGTCTGAGTCGTGCGTGAGATCCCTCGGGCAACTTTTAGCTTGTAGCTCCAATATTATCATAGGTAATATTTATCTCTTGTGAAATAACAATGTTAATTACGACCATTATAGTGATAGAGAGCCCTCTGACAATTTTATTTTGTAGCTCCAATATTATCATAGGTAATAGTTATCTCTTGTGAAATAACAAGGTTAATTACTACCATCATAGTGATAATTTTCAGTTTCATTAGCAGGGAAAAATCACGAAATAAGATGATGGACAGCTACGAGTGTTAAGAAAATCAAAGAGAGAAAAACAAGAAAGAGAGTAACACAAAAAAGATTATTGAGAAACTCACTTATTTGTGGTTTCGGTCTGAGTATTATAAAAATATATATTCTAATGTAAATACACATATTGTAAAATACATATTTCAAATGCTTCTCCGTCGTCAACAAATTCGCGACTTTTCTTGACCTATCTGTAATCATTCAAATCCATACCAGTTATAAATGTTGAACAAGAAATGCCGGGTTTTAGCCCTCGTAAGCCAACAAAGTCGGGAATTCAAAAAAGAGGTATGAACTAAAGTGTGGTCGCTTACGAGAGCGCCGGCTCTCTGACGTAAGCGACCACGCGATGAAACGATAGTCTTTAATCTGACAAGAAAATATAACTTGTGAGCTGTCATTAGCTGTTGGTAGTCTAATGGCCATTAGAATAATAATCACTTAATCTTTGCTTGCCTCCGGTTCACAAATGTACAGCTAGCTCAGTAATCCACATGGACCGAAAACTTCCCAGAGTTACTTTTGTTCAGAAAACAATGTCTCATAAATGAAAACAACTTCCTTATCTTAAAGAAAACACGTTTTCAATCCCCATAGTGTTTGTTTTTCCCTCCCCTGCGGTTATCCACCTTCTTGTTTGTGTAGCATTAACTTCCTGGCATCGTTGTCATCTCCTTTCCCCTGTTTCTCATTCTCTCTTTTTTCGTTTTAAATCTTCCTGGCCTAGCAAGAAGTTTTATCTGACCACCTTCCTTTTATTCAATGTCACGACTCGGAAATCAAGTTATAGCGAAGACTGAACATAAAATAATGGATAGGAAAAACACCATTCTGCACCCTGAGACTTTTTGTTACAAAAGATGACTTCGTTAATTAATTTGGCTAGATAGCGTAACCGTGTTGTCTCGATATATTTAAGTTCACGCAGCGATTCTAGGAACTATACTGAAAACCTGTTCAAAATGACCTTTAAAAGCTTTTTTGGCTGGCAATTTTAGCTCTCATGACGACAGACGAAGGTGTGCGTGATCAAAATAATATTGTCCATATCCTACCATATCCATAACGTGAACATTGCATGCGCTATCCCCGTAACAACAACAACAACAACAACAACTTTATTAGGTACTTCTATAAGTAGTACATGGCATTACCTAAGTAAGAATAAGTAACAATAATTATTTAATATCATTTTGTCTTTAACAGAACTTCTTGTCTGATATTCATTATTTGGAATATAAAAGCAGAAATGAATCTACATATAGACGGATTAGCGTTATTAAAAAGGAATAACACTTTAGAGTTATGATCAAAGTTTTCAAAGCAAGGATACTTTCTTGCGATTTTGTTGTTAAGTTCTAATCGAAAACTATCATACAAAGGACAACAAAAAAGCACATGTTTTTCATCTTCAATTTCATTTGAATGGCAGAAAGAACAGATTCTTTGATTGACTGCGGTCTTTGGAGTCTTGTATCTTCCCGTTTGAATGTGTAATTTATGATTGCCTAGACGGAATTTATTAATGGCAATTTGTGTTGTGGATTGTTTATTAGATCTAAAAATTCTGTTTTCTTAGTGTCTTTTTTGAATGAGGAGTAAAAGTCTAATTTTCTGTTTGCGTTGATTAACATTAATTGGTGGTCCTCATAGATCTTCCTCTTTAACTTTAAATGAGTAGTTCTCATATTTGTATCGTTATTTTTCAAGTTTATACAACTTGGATCACATCTTTTCAATAAGTTATTAATTCTCACCGTCAAACTTAAGAGGTTTCTATCAGCCAATTCTTCGGAGAGGAATAAGCATTGTTTTGCAATATCAGTGTCTGGTAAGTTGCGTAGATGAATCCAGAACTTTCAGTAAAAGGAACACTGATTTCGGACATTTGATTTAATTTCATAATTTTTGCCATTGAAAAGAATGGGAGCTTATTCTTTTACGGTGACACGTTTTACAAGGTAAGTTTATTTGAACACGTATTTAAATCAACACGACTTGAAAATTTAAGGGGGTGTCGGTGTTTGCTTACATGAAGACGTTTCCGCTTCGCTCTCATGAAGGCTGTTATCCAATCACCTTAGAGCAAGTCATTTGACGCTGTTTAGCCTGTCGGCGCTGGTGCATGCTAGGAAGCAAAAAGCTGACAGCCGGACACAATTTGTCAGGAGTTAGGTCGAGAAGGTTGAGTGTAACACGCTCGAATATGAAGTTGTTTGTTCGATATGGAAGGTACCTCAACCAGCAAAAAGAGGAGGAAAGGGGTAAGGCAGAAGAAGAGGAGCTACTCTAGAAACTCAACACCGCTTTTCAATGATCGATGCTCCAAGTGCAATGCTACGCGAATGACGATGAAGGGTCTCTTACAATTTTTACGTGAAGCTATTTGGCGATTTTATTTTCTCGTGAATCGTGATTTAATTTTTTCTCTATTAGTTAACTATGATTAAAGATGATGTTACCGCCACATGGCTGTATTTGTTTCATTTGTTTGTTTTCTCGTTTGTAAGCGCATTTTTTCCCCTCATTATCGCATTCTTTGTCCCTTTTTCTCACTTTTACGTAATCAATATTTTGTTAGGTATTTTCGCATAATTTCGTCTCGTTAAGGCCTTTTATGCATGCGTTTTTGTTCAGTTGACTTGTGCTTTGCCATTGCTACGTTTCATTGATCCAGTCCGCTTACCGTCTTCTCCGCTTTTGGTTTCCGTGTTCCTAGCCGTCCTAGTCATACAACGTTTCTATCGCTTGCTTCGTATCGCCTTACGCTTATTGTATATTTCGAGAAATAGATTAAAGAACATGTAGCGCGTCGGAAGTTTGACTACAATAGATGATAAGATCTTTTTTTTGTCCATATGTGAACTTATTTTTCTTTATTAACGTGACTCGTGAAAGAAGAGCTGAATTAAAAGTGATTCGTGAACCAATTGTTTTTTTTTTTTGCGTGATGTATTCCTGGCTTTTTAATGGTTTTGGAAATGAACGTGTTGTTTTCGAACGGTTGTGGTTAGGTTTTCACCAGAGTTTCGACCTGACATGGCCTTTATATGGATCGATAATTCGTGAATTTGGTTTTTCATTTTTATGTGAAACGTGATCGTCTCAAATTTATAGACTACCTAAACAGCACATTATATTTTTATTATTCATAGCCATATAATTATGTATTTTAGGCTAGTGATATTTTTTCATAAAAGGGAATTGTTACTTGCAAGATTTTTTTACTTTTTATACACTTTCATGTTAGTTTCCGGGTTGTATTAAGCTACTCAATATAGGTTATTTTCTAAAAAAAAATCAGTAACCCCTGTCACTATCAGTGAAAAGTATTTCCGCTCCGATGCAAGCTACGAAAGAATCTTCATTTCTCTCACTGGAGCGGAAAAAGAGACTTTAATTCCAAAAACAATCACTAACTTTCAGAAAGAACTACACCCCAGTTTTGTCCTTCAAGAACGCAAGATAAATGTTCATTAGCGCCACTTCAAAGTTAAGTAACACGGAAGTGTTATCAAGTAAGCGAGAAGACAATCATTAGGAAGGTTTTAAGTTTCATTTAAGCTGTTTGCATAAATACGAAAATTCATTTACACCAATATACTTTCATTTTAATGTAAGTATATATTTTTTTTTTTTTTTGCTGACTTGATCACACTTTGACGTTAATTAACTATCCATTGAACTTACTGAAAATTTATCTTGTGTTCTTGAAGGGAAAAAGGTGTAATGTTAGTAGAGTTGATAACGAATGAGCGATTTCGGAACTATACAAAACGGTACAGAGTGCAAAATCAATACTGGTTTTGAAACCGTTAATTAGGTTGACATGAAGTGTCGTCAATCTCACGCCTTCCGTTCTACTCTCAAACTACTTTTTGCTTTATATCTCCGAAAGAAAAAAAACAAAATAGAATTTTCAGAAGTTGATAGATCTTAAATTTTTCTATGAAATCAGGAAATTGGAAATAATGATTTTTTTCCTTCTGTAATACTTTAAGAAAACTAAACTTGACACAAAGTAAAATTACATTTGCTCCTGTTGTTGGTTCAGCTTTTGAGAGAGCTACAACAGTTTCCTTTTCATTTTTCCACTTTGAATTTCTTGATAGTTGAGTTTAAACTATGGACAACCATTGGTTTATTTTAATTGCGTTCAAACAACAATGTTTTTTATGACAACAAAATCATTTGAGATATCATTAAACTTAAAATTTTCTAGATCCATGACTCTTTTTTTCAATAATAAAAGAAAACTGTAAACAATTAGTTAAAATAAAACAATCAGTGAAATAGATATGTTAAGTGCTTCTCTTGATGATTTGAAAGAAAAGGAGCCAAGGAAAGATCCTATCACTCTGTTCTTGTGGCACTGCTAGAAAAGAAGAATACAATAATAGAAAGGTAAATATCGCTGCAGTAATGATATAAATTCCTCGAGGAAACTTGTGGACTCACGAAAGGATGTTTAGTCACTTCGTGGCGAAATCTCCCGGCTAATTATATGTTAAAATACGACTGTAACTTTGACTGAGAGGAAAGGTTAGTGTTTCAGTTGTATAATATACTTCGAGCAGTACAACATGAGAATAACAAACATCAATAACGGTAGCAAGGTATTTATTACAAGAACTGCGAAAACTTGCTTACGTAAGAAAGAAACAGGCATCCGGGGCATGCATGAGTTTGCAAAATACGATGAAAACATAAAAAAAAAATACTTTTAAGATGGAATGGAAACAAGCAGTGTTGCTGTACTTTTGGTTTTTTCGGGGAAAAATATGTAGGGATAAACAAATCAAAGAACTATGAGGATATAAATAGAAAATGCGCTGATGCTAAAATACTTGAAATTATCCTTATGCTGAAAAAATGAAAACACTGCCCAAATGCTGTGCCTGGTTGCTTGTTCAAAAGTAGTACAAAACATTGTTAACCCATTGACACTTGGGTGTAATGCGTGCTTTTGCAAAAGTTGACATTTTGGAGAAACCAGAAAAGCAAACACAATGCGCAGAAAATTTTTGTAAATTATCTTTTCCCAAAGTACAAGCTCCAGTGAAGACCAATTAAACAACTAATTTGCATCGAAAAGCGACAGATACATATTAAGTTTTTACTCAGCGGAAATTGAGATAAAAGATAGAAATCGCTAGATTTTTCTGCATGTTATGCGGATTGGATTTCGCAGTGAATATGCAAGTTTATTTCTGTGCCGGAAGATCTCATTTTAAATGGAACCTACATGGAAGCAAGACGAAAGTGACCAAGACATGTTTCGTGTAGAGACTGCTGTGGGAAGGGAAAGACGTATGAATTTCTCACGTCTACGAAACCCACGCAGTAGACTTCATCATGCTTAGATCGTTGTTTACTTGACTTCATGGCCAGAAAATTGCTTAGCGTTATGATGAAAATTTTGAAAGTTCTACGTTTTGGCTCAAAACATTCTATTAAACAATACGTTTTGGACACATCATTACTCGAACATAATATTTACCGCCTCTTAGAATTTTCAGGTTGTTGTTAGGCCTTGCTTGAAGTCCGAAAGTTTGATGTACACTTTTCGGCCACAATTCGCATCTCTTCCGAGATTCGTAGTATCGCACGAGTCCAACCATCACGTGGGTCACGAAAAATGATCGGAAAAAGTATCATTTTTTTTCACTGTAACACGAAAGAAAGTCGCTAGAGCTCGGGGTTTATTGTATACTGAAAAACCCGCCAGCGAAGAGTGGGTGTTGCCCACTCAAAAATATCGACGTTGTTACTTTCGTAATACGGCGAAGCTTTGTTCTTCCTAGCTTTTTTATTTATCTGAAGTTGATTATTTACTAGATACCGTTATTTTACATAGATGGTCACCTTTCAAGCTAAGCTCAGTATCGGTTTTTCAGCATTCAACTTCTGTCCATTCACTGATCGGACAGCCTGACGGTCTTGAATCCTAGTTAGTTCGATCATCACCTAGCAACGTGAGTTAATATTGTTGCCCCTCAGCTTGTTATAGACGACACGTCAATTTACTAGATCTCTTTTTCATTCATTCTAATTTCACCTTTTCTTTGTGGTACCCACAAAAAAAGGAAGGTAGTATCACAATTCTGGGCGAGACGTATGAATGAATAATTCCGGTTTTGCAACGCCTTCTATTTACAGTCCAAGCCTGCCCTGTTCTAACGTGGTGTCCACGCTATTTACAGTGATTAAATCCATTGTCACATTCGCGGCTCTGATTGGCAATGTTCTTGTCATTGCAAGTTTTCTCAAAACTCCTAACTTAACGACAAGCACTAATTATTACATAATCAACATGGCCATGTCTGACCTCCTTTGCACATGCTTCAATTGGCCACTATACGCAGTTGGAATGCTGACAAGAGCTGAGTTCTTCAACCAACGTTCGGCCTTAATTCTCTGTAAACTGGGAATTTTCTTCAGGGTAATTTCACAAGTAGTGTCCGTGTTATGCTTGGTTCTAACATCCGCAGAGAGATATGTTGCTATCGTTCACCCGATGAGCACAACGGTAATGAGAAATGGCAAAGTTAGAGTTATTTTATTGTTGCTTACTTGGATTATACCTTTTGGCTTTGCTTACCCGTATTACATGTTCGCTGAAGTTGTGAAAGTAAACAACCAAACTTTCTGTAGAGTAATTTGGAATATATCAGCACACGCAGATTTTAATGCTGCTGGATTTGTTATATTCTATTGTATACGTCTTATTCTCATAATTATTCTATATACTCGCATCACAAAGACACTTCAAAATCGCTCAGATATAGAAAACGCAACCCAAGAACAGCAAATCAGAAGAAGAAGAGAGCAACATCAGAAAGTTTATGAAAATCTTGACATCTATTGTTGTCGGTTTCTTTATTTGTTGGACACCCCTTTACGTTTATTTGGCATTGAAAACGTTTTATTCAGGGTTGTTTCTTCAAGATAAACGCTTCCTACTGGCAGGCTTGTTTTTCTACTTATTTCCCTCACTCAGCACAGCAATCAATCCTTTTATTCTTTTCCAGTTTAGTTCAAAATTTCGACTGGCGATGAAAAACGTTCGTATTCCTTTTGTTGATTTCAGTAAATATGGCCGGTTTCTGAGCATGCCCAGGAATCATGAGGGTTAGATCACTTAAAATAGATCGTGTTGGTATGGCGGAGTTGCAATAAATGTCTCTGATATACGATGGATTCGGAATAACACTGATAAATAATAACAGGTCATACGAAAAAGCGACAAGTCTGCATTACAAAAATCTATAAAAAAATCCTGCAGTTCCAAAAGAAAAAGGAAATTTCTAAGTCTTACCTGGCTGGCAAAATATTGTGTGGTGACACAGAGTACACAGAGTAAAAATAGAGTCCAAACTTGCGTGGAGTAGATAAGGATTTAATAAGTGTATACGTACAAAAAAAAACCATCTTTGAGCTCGTACGTTTTCAGATGCGAGAGTTACGCATCATAAGCCTTGCGAGAGAGCCCTCGGGAAAATTTCAGTTCTTAGTTCCAATATTATCATAGTTAATAGTTAAATAACATTGTTAATTACGACCATCATGGTGATAATGATCAGTTTCAGGGAGAGAGTTCGAAAAGAAAAAGGAAACTTCTAAATCTCGCATGGATTGCGAAATATTGTTTGGTAATACAGAGAGCAAACAGAGTAATAATAGACTCAAAATTTGCTTGGAGTAGATAAGGATTCAATAACTGTATGAGCACAAAAAACGATCTTTGCGTTTAATACTAATTACGCGTACGTTTTCAGATACGAGAGGTACACATGGTAAGCCGTACGAGAGAGCCCTGGGGCAAATTTCAGTTTGTAGCCCCAGTATTATCATAGTAATAATTATCTGAAATAACAATGTTAATTACGACCATTATAGTGATGACGATCAGTTTTTCAGTCTATTCCTCAGCTGAGAAATATCATGAAATGAGAAGTAGACAGCTGGAGTTCGATAAGGCTTGCAGCGCATTCAATGTAAATATCATTCTTTATGCTAGCGATAAACTTTAGTATCTAGAATTATAAAAATGTCAAATAAATAAAAATGAATTACCTTTAGGTATTCCATTTCAACCCTAACTTCGTCATTCCTTCCTAAAAAAGGAAAAGGTATTGGGTAGAACGTAAACAGGAAACCCGTCAGTGAAACGTCGGACAGTATTTTTCATTGTCTCAAATACAAAGTCGCCCGAACCTCCGATAGGGAGTGATAAAACACTTTACAAAAAGAATGAATTTCGGCCTGAATATCACACTCCGGTGACGAAAGTTAAGGCCACCTAGCACAGTGAAGAGCTGTATCACTTACAGCCAAAATAGAGCTCAGCAAAGTCGTAGCTAACATCATAGCTAACGTCATAGCTAACGAAACGTGACTGTAAGCTACACCCGGCCGTGATCAAAATATATCCTCAGCACAAATTAGCCGTCAATGCTCATTTGATGCCATTTTTGCCCATAGTGGTATTTACGATGAACAACCTTGGCGAGTTCTCTCAATTATTTCCATATTTTTCTGATCCAAAAGAGTTCAGATTCATCAAAAATTCATTAGGAAATTTAAAATGAAGATTGACAAAAACAGGATGATTGCCACTATAAATCTCTTACCACACATCATCTCTAAACCTCAAAGAGGAAACGCAAGAAGCAGATATTAGAGCTGTTATAATTCAAAATAACAGAGCTAGTAAATATCCCTAATGAGTCACTGTCAAGTTGTTTGTTCCTTATCGTGCATGACTAACATCCTTGCATCCAATAACATATGTGGAGTGGCTGACAGTTTCGTATAGATTTCCAACCATATACGCGTTAATTTGCGACTCAAGTTTTGCGGGTTGGTATCAATATACCATTCAGTTAAGCTTGAAGTCGGTAAGAAATAACTTATAAGAAATTAACAAGAGAGAGTATAAGCTGAGAGATGTTTTCTCTTTCGATAAGAAATTTTGTCGCGCTGTTGCCTTTCTCCTTCGACTTATACTCCATTTCATAACTCTATTTTATTGTTCAATTGGATTCAATTCCAATTTTTTGTTTTGAGTTACACTCAGGTTTCATGTTTGACTTTACTGACACAATATTGAGAGATTCTTAGAAGATCGTCCGCTGAAAATTTGAACAGGTACGTTAGATGTAGGACTGAAATTTGAGCAAGTCTTCTCAAGCTTCAGTTAAGTAACATTTCGTTTTTTTTTTATGTATGAAAGCAGTGATGTAAGCGAAAGAAATACATGGATAAGCCATTCTTTATTGTGCTACTGTGTAATGAATATAGAACGCAAACGTGACTCGGTAACCGAACCCTAATTAATGCAAAATATTGCTCGTGTGCCAACTGTTTGTTGGGGGTTTTTCGTTATTAAAATATCTCGACGTTTTATCTAAGGTAAGTTTTCCTTATACTTTCATTAGCCTTGTCCTATATGTGTAATACGAAACAGAAGCTGATCCATAGAATATTATCATTTTTAAGCAAATGGCAAAAAGATTCGAAAAAGTTATTATCCTCATTATGTTTGCGAAAAATTTAATTCAAATATTGCACTCGTTCAAAGATTCACGTAGGTAAATGTTTTGGAGTTTTAATTGCATTTGAAGCTCAAATTTTATCTTAGAGCAGCATAAATATTGCTTTCATGTTTCTTACAGTTTGCTGTAGTCCAATAGAACTATTGGGCAATACTCATTATCTCGTGATGGCCATTATAAACTAATCAGTTTGCAAGTTAGTCGCTGTTCCGGTAAAATGTGATATTCAATTTACTGTAGATGTTTGCCATAATCAATTCCAAACATCACATCATGGGATACGGTGACCAAAATTAATGAACAACTACTCCGGCATTTTTACTTGTCTATTTATTAAGTTCGTAAAGAAAGTTTTTAAGAATCATTTGCCGCGATATAATTTGCGAAGCAGAAAGGTTAGTCGCTCTGGCCCATGGTTGAAGTCTTCGTGATATCGTATAAATTGACTGGGCACGTACAGGAAACGCCACCAACCTTAAGAAAGTTGTTGACATTACTATTAGGGTGAACTGAGGTTCCCTTTCGCAACTTTTGCATTTTGTTGAAAACCACTTCGACGAAAAGATATTTTCCCGTAGGTGTAGGTAAATACTACCTTTTTATTATTCATGTAATGCTAATCAGTGTCGGAGGTAAGATTATTCTTTGGCTTAAAAATCTCAATTTTATCGTGCACTTTTCATTTATGACATTTAATTACAATTTGCACGTACGACGAGAAACCTCTTTTTCTTATAGCGGTTTATGAACGTATCTCGGGTATATTCAAACTTGTAAATACTTCTTTACGTTTTCAGTCAAGTGGAAATTGTGAAGCTAGCCAGCGGAGTGGTTTACAACGACGAACAAACAAAACATTTGCCTCAAGACTGAACTTATCAGGAAAAAGAACAGCAGCCATTTGATGATGAGTTCAAGTGATAGTGATGCGCCATGCCCCAACACCATTTCCATATTTTTCACAACATCTATGGTCTTAGTAAGCATGGTTGCTGTGCTCGGAAATATTTTAGTGATCGTCGCAGTGTACAAAACTCAAAGTCTTAGGACCAGTAGGAATTACTACTACGTCAACATGGCCATTTCTGATTTCCTTTCAAGCCTCGCTATTTGGCCGCTTTACCTTACAGACGAAATCATAACAAGCAAAGGAAGTCTGTTCAAAGGGTCTCTGGCAACTGCTGGCTGCAAAGTGGGTGTATTTTTCAGAATGACGTCAGTTATTGTGTCAATTCTGAGCCTGGTGTTGATCGCTGTTGATAGATTTATCGCTACTGTCTTTCCATTAAAATCAACGTTGATCGTTGGGAAAGTCAGGGCATTTCTACTCTTTGCGACATGGACGATATCAATGGCATACTGCATCCCAATGCTGTATTATTCAAGAGCCGAAGACTTTGGTCAGGAAACTTATTGCAAATTTGCATGGAATAGCATTGCTCTCATGATTTATTACATCATTGGTTTGGTGTTGTTTGAAATCGCGCCGATTATTGTCATTGTCATTCTTTACACGCGCGTTATGAGGGTTTTGCATCAGAGGATTAAACCAGGAACTGGTGAGAGGGGCAGTAGTTCCTATCAAAATCGGAGAAATGAGCAAAACCGAAACTTTATGAAGATATTCAAATCAATTGTTGTTACTTTTTTCGTTTCTTTTTCTTTCTTTTTCGTTTACTTGATTTTTAAGATGTCATTTCCTGAACTTTTCGACAAAGACAAATGCAAGTGGATTCTTGGGTTCGCTTATTTCGTGTTTCCATCGCTCAGTTCAGTAATTAATCCTATTATTTTATTTGCATTCAGCACGAATTTCCGACAAGCTCTGCGTACATTGTGGATGTTTTCTTTAAGGAGATTCTTTTTATGTGGCAGAAAAGAGAAAAGAGAACGAGATAAAACTGAAGGCCCTTCAGCAGAAGAAACATAATTAAAGCCAATGGTGCGTAGAATATATGATATGAAACGAGGAATTTAATTAAAGCGATATAAGTTTGCAGAGTTTTTCAAAACATTTATCTCATTTTATAATTTTGAGCTTATACTGAGCTGATTTCATTCTTAACATACGTTGGGGTTTCATCACTTCAATTAAGCACAGACTCTTGAAAAAAATTATCCGTTATTTTATCCTTCAGACAGAGTCTTCAGAGAAATCCCGCCTGCCTTCAGGTAAAGTTATATGCCTATGACTTCACATACATGGAATATCACACACATGTTTAAATTAAAAAAAATTAAATATTTTTCCTTTGTGACGCTTGTCCAACTCATGCTTTCGGTACACACTTCCAAATCACACAAGATTTTAGAGCGCCTTTTGATTGGGTGTGTCATATGAGCAAAGCCAAACTAACCACAACGGTCAATCAGAAGAAAGAAAATACCTTAAGAGCCAATGAGAGCTCAAAATAAAAACGAGCAAATTGCCTGAAGTGGGAAAAAATGCGCACGACCAAATCGTGATTGGCTTTAGTTTTGTATCTGATTGGTCGAGATTATGGTGTGAGTTTTCTGGACCAATCACAGAGCGAAGTAAAGCAAAACCAACGCAATCTCGGAGGACTTTCGACACTGAATTGAAGATTGCTCCTTGGTTGTAGCGTACTCCCCCAAATCATACACACTCAAATTATGCTTTTGACACACCTTCCAAGTTTCACTAGAGCTCGTCACACGCATACTCCAAACTACATCACAGGTCGCTCATGCTTTAGGTAATCACTCTTAAGTCACATCGCTTCTCATACTTTTACATCACACGAGATATTATACTTCGAACACACACTTCTGAATCACACAAGATATCATACTTAGAGTACACACCTCTGAATCACACAAGATATCATACTTAGAGCAGACACTTCTAAATCACACGAGAGATTGTGCTTCAGGCACACTCTTTCACACAATCATAAGAGTTCGCTGTTCAAACAGAGGAATTTGACCGAATATTCTATCTGACTGAGAAGTCTCAATCATCATTGAGTTTCTTAAAGTTCATCACGAACCATAGCCAGCGTGAGTTTATCAGTGATGTCAACAAAACCACCAATGCATTCACTCATTTTCATCTTCAGCTTTTGGCCTTTCTTAGCGTCAGCCATGTGAAGTACACAAATGGTAAGGTCTTTGTAGACTCGGAAATAAAGCGATTTTGATTTCAAGTCTTTGACGACAGACCACACTGTATAATCAGAGGACGTTCCTCGGGGTATATCGACTGTATTCAAGATGTGGAAAGCCTTGATAACTGCTTCTTTACCTGTCTTGACTGGATCAGAAAAATGCGCCATAATAGCCGCGCGTACAAATCTCGATGGCGGTGTGAAGTCACCGGGTATTCCCAGAAGTCCACTTCCTTGACCAGTAGGTTTGAACGTCACTTTGCCCAACTCCAGGGCATCATGGGCCGATTTGGAAAGTTCAACATAATTGCGAATGTTTATTAGATGGAAATCATATGGCGGGGAATTGGTTACGACGCCAAGAGTGTTGTTGAACACCATTCTCCCCTGTTCAGTAAACTCAATAACGATAGCATCTCCGGAAGCGTCCACGATCGAGTAGTGTAGTTGAAAGATTCCCTTTAACCACTCTGGGACATTGGCTTCCCATACGAGAGGGAAAGAATCCTTCTCCAAAGCATCCCTTAATTCCTGGACTGTCCCAAAGTTTCCAAGAATCCACAACGGAAACTGCAAAGAAGACACCGCCATGTGGCATTTTTCAACTGGAATTTTCTGGAATTGGGCGAAGCCAACGAAGAGGTTTGCAGCAAGAGAAAGACCAACTTCATTTAAACCATCGGTAGCTATGGGCATGTCTAAATCATTCAAAACGTCTAAAACGTCGACGTATGCGATGATATATTTATTCTGCCAATGCAAAGACGAATGAAGGAAGCATTCTTTGCTAGGAACCGATGTATGAGAATACTCCCTGGGTTCTACAACGAGGTAATAACCCAAAGCACCGATGAACTCCATACTCCGACCGACGACCACTGAGTCATCTTCGGAAGACAAGCTGAATTCAGTGCATGCGTTTGAAACGAAAAACTTGCACTGTATCACGAAGACCATGAAAAGAACCTTCATCATCAAGAGGAGATCTAAACCTACAATTAAACAAAATTTAATATCAAGTTTACATAAATATTTATAGCATGTAGCATGTAGCATGTTTTTGTTGCCGTTTGAAGATCGAACGAATTAAGAAGATTAAGTTGATACGTACCTCGTTTCCTTCCTTTCGAAGACTGTTTAAAAAGAAATTTAAGTATTCTGCGGGTAAAATGATGTGAAGTAACTAGAAACTTTTTCATAAACAGGAACTTATAAGGCTGATTTATTGGATGACGTCAGATCCAAGTGACCGTGAAGGTATGAAGTGCAACGAAGTTTAAGGTTTAAGGTTCATTTATTTCACACTATTTACTAAAAATTAACATAGAATAAAGTACAGATTATAAAAATGAGTGTGAAGGTCAAAGTAGCGAAGGCTTTCTAGTTGGCCACCACCTACTTATAGATAAACAAGGAAATGGCACTGAGCTTTATTAACGTTTGTGGGTAACAGCCCTGGGGCTTAGGCACAATGAATTATCGTGTGGAAAATTATTCTGATCGTCTTTTGTGGTGCGGCGTTATCTCTCAAATTTGTGGTGCTTCGAAATTTCCAAAACTAAGTACACAAGGCTTTGGTTTGAATCTCTCACCTTCCTTGCGCCACGGGGAGAGACCTGACTTTTGGTAGCCTTGACACTCTTTCTTAAATATTCCCGAAGTCAGTTCAATGAAACTGGTCTCACGTCCCTCTATGACTAAGGTTTTAACCTCATTCGAAAGCTGCGGATCTTAAAAGATGATCGAGTCATCGATCGGAACCGGGAATAATCCTTCAGGTTAATCCGTACCTGTTAATTTGCTCAGTTTCTCTGGCTTGGCGTCAACATTTTATATCTATTTCAGTCAGTGTTATTTGTATTATTCAGTACAACAGCTATCAAAACTAATGTAGTTTCTAATTGAACAACTTGTTTTCATCGTTGTATGCTTGTGAAGCCAAAACTGGGGAGAATGAGAGTATCCGCTGGCCATCTGGACAAGTAAAAGAGAATTTCCAGAATCGTTGCACTTATTGTTATCTAGCATACAAATTCTAAGTTAGATTTAAAAGAGTGGTTTCCAGCCTCACAATTTCGTTTTGTAAAGCAAGGCGATGACTCTTTAAGGAACAATAGATAAAATGTCACCGACACCGGAAATTAATTCGTTTTACAAATTTGAATTGCGTCAACGAAATCTCTAGAACTTCCTGCTTTTGGTCTCAGCCCACTCAAACTTATACCATTCTCTGTGCCTTTTCATAGTCGCAGAATTTACTTACTCCGTATCATTTTATCAACTAATCAATGCATCTGATTTCCGCTATACTTGTCCCTTCTAAACTACATTCAACCAAACTGAGCATCCAACAGTAAAATGGCATTTATCATTGTGATAAACCAAGTCATTCCTGTTTGGTTTGAACTCTAAACTCATGTAAATACTTTCTCTATTCCCATGAATTTGTATATACAGCTGATAAATGTCACAATTTTTGATAGTATTTGATAATATACCGCTGTAAGCCAGTGGATGTGACACCATTATGCAGCGCACATCAATCCGCGCGCCAAATATCAGGAATAACGTTTCCTAAATTGTTTATTCTTATTTTTTGTTTTATCTTTCATAACGTCGAAGGATAGCAGGTGCAGTGTGAAAATTCAAGCCTCTGTTTTTAGGCCTCCATTTAAACCAAGCAATGGATAACTCGAGTTACTATGTTCTTGAGGGTCAGCCGAATTGCTCCCCTATCGCCTCTACTTTGATCACAACAACTATTTCTGTTGTTAGCATGTTTGCGTTTGTCGGCAATATTTTGGTGACTGCAGTTTTTCTGATAAACAAAACCCTCAGGACAAGTACAAATTATTTCATCGTTAACATGGCCGTCGGGGATCTATTGTCCACTGCATGTGTTCACATGGCCCGCCGCTGTACGCCACTGAGGGGATGCAGTCCGATAGACATTTCATCGATGATCCAGTGGCTACAGCTGTTTGTAAAATAAGTCTGTATTTCAGAGGCGTGTCACAGGTTATTTCAGTTTTCGGCCTGGTCGGTATAGTCGTGAGAGGTTCATTGCCGTAGTTCATCCACTCAAGGCTAAAGCTCTGATGGAAAGGACTCTACCTCGAGCTGTTTTATTGCCACTGACCTGGATCATCCCTTCAGCACTTGCTGTGCCATACCTCAGATTCTTAAAGATCGTTACAGTTGATGAGAATCAACCACTTTGCTCGTTTTCGTGGGGAGCAAAGAACCGCTATGTAGTCTTTGCGATTGGATTGTCATGTTCTACTGTACTCCCTTGATTTTGATCATCCTTCTTTATACCAAAATCATAAAACGTTTGAAGCAATCAAGACGCGTCACTGATGAACAAGACCAAGCGCTGAAAAAGATAAGAAGAAGGCATCGCAAACAAAACCAAATGTTATGAAGGTCTTCGGATCAATTGTCGCGGTCTTTTCCGTCGGCTGGACTTCAATATCTGTGTATCTAATATCACTTGAAGTGCTTCACCCATCACAAGACACTGAGAGACTCTTGTTTGCTCGTTTTGGCTTTATTATTTTACATACCGCCATCTTTACCAGCAGCAATTAACCCCGTCATTCTTTTCGTGTCGAGCACCAATTTCCTTAATGCTCTGAAAGTTATGTTCAATCGTTTTTCGCGCCCAAAGTAGTGGACAAGAGGCTCTCACTGAGCCAGATTTAATGATGAACACAGAGTGATGATTTTACTTTCGATATCAAATAACATTTGACCAAAAGCTTCTAAATTCAACAAAATTAAATGGAAAAATTTCCTTGGCTGCAAGAAGGAGCGTGACTTTTCTTTGCATACTGATGATAAAGGCGGATTGAAACAGTTCCGACAATATCCGCGAATATTTCCAACCCTGTCAAAGCATTTCATTCATTCGAATAATAATCATTATTAGAACCTGCGGTTTTAGTTACTATTTGAACACATACAGACATTGAAAATAAACTTAAAATAAAGTCTTTGATGTGAAAATGTAAAACTTGAGAAGTAAAAGAAAACCGTCGTGGGTAAGCTTGACTTATTTGACGACACTTCACAAAAGGTTATCATGGTCGGGTCATTTAGTTCGTTGAAATGGTTGCAAGAGCGTAGTTTTTCATTTCTTTTATCTGATGGAAAAAGAATTCCGCTACCCTTAAATATGACACAATATAAGCAGAAAATCATGTTTAAGCCTTTTAAACTCCACTATTTTTCGCACAAACAGTGAAAAGTGACAGTTTGTCATAACAAATCTCGGTAAAATTAAAGCTATGGCAAGAGACCGCATCTAACAGTGGTACCGAATTCGAATAGCTTAAAACGATAAGTTCGATGTACGTAAATATGACTTATTTACGGGGAATCGCATCACAATTGTCAACAAAAACGGGTCATGTAAGAAACTGAGTCACGTAGTTTTCGTACGTGCTGCCTTTTTGGCTGGAGAATTACTTGAAAAATCTTTCTTTTTGTAAATTGGGCAAAGCTGGAATGTAATTCTTAATGCCTGGAATCAAGATACCAGTTCATATGCTGCTTTTTTGTCATAGTTATGAAAGCCTGTGAAGGATGCGCGTGCTGTGAAGAGGACATTTTATCCCGTCATCAACTACTGAGAAGCGGAAATTACTCAGTGGTTCCTTTCTTGTGTTCATATCTGTAAATTCAAATAAAATTTCAACCAAAGGACGATTTTATCTATATTTATCTATACAAGCCTTTTCTTTTCTCGCCAAAAAGTGTCCCTTTTTGCTGAGAAAATTAAAGGTATGTACATTCAATATATATTTTCAAATTTGCAACGTATTTGAAAATGGGTGTATTTATTTTTGTTTGAAATTTTGACTTTTGTTTAATCAAGAACAAAACTGCCCACCTGCCATGTTGATTGTCAGCTATATTTCTCGGCAGTAAAGACAAGTCGGGTAATACAATTTTCTGGTTGTCACGTTCGAACCATATGAATTAAAAATTACTCAACGAGCTTGTAATTTCAAACGCTTGATACTGAGTTGACGAAGGCGAAGTTCGAATAAATCGAGAACGAATAACGACTTCTACTAGTCGTTTAAAACCTGATATGACAATCTCATGTTTTTATTTACTTTGTTAACAACCGCCCAGTGTTAGATTATTCACTTTATTCAAACATCTATCACGAAATAGATGGTAAAGAGCGTTTCCAAACAGATTGCAGCTTTTGTGATAGAAAGCCGGCGCAGTAGAGCACCAATGTTATGCACAGGGATACAATATGCAATGTTCACAAATACTCTCGTCCATTAATATCAATTCTATGCATACCCCGTACTTTTTCAAAAGTAGGGTTTAAAATTATACCTTTTACAAAAGTTTAGTTTTGTGACTTTAATATTTGGGGCACTCGTTTTCAAGTGATTTATTGTGAAGCAGCGTTCTTGGAGCGGAGACTGAAGTTTTCAATAGTGCGTGGAGATATACGTGGAGCGTAAGTCCAGATAGATCACTGCGAAAAAATACTTAACAGGTAACATACCGAAATGGTGCATCCATAGCAAAAGGTTAGGATGTTTGATGAGCATTTTTCTAAAACGCATCTTACAAGAAAACGAACATCGGCCCTATTTGAAGTACGAGCGTATTTTGAACATCCTGTCAGTTCTGAACTTCAAACATGGTTGGCAGGCACAAACAGTGCTAAATGAAAAGTCAGGCATATTATATGACTAGCACGTTTCATTTCATTTAGAGCGTGAAGTTTATTCAACAGAGGTCCACGTTCAGATGTTGTCAATTTGGTTTATAAATGCTCCTTTTGATGGTAAGTGAATAGAAACTTTGCCAGCTTTCAAAGAGAAACATAAAGTTGTTTCTTTTTCTTTTAAGGACTTGCCTTTTTGTTACGTATTTTTACCAAATTTTGGTCGAAAGGTCTCAAACAACTGTTATTTGAGAAATTTGGGCAAACGTGGATATCAACAAAACACCCTATTATTGTCAGTACTCATGTGAAGTTGGGTTACACGTCCAGGTGACGTATTTTTTGTCATGGCAAAAGCAAATTTGTCATTTGCAATGGCAAATTGCGTCAGCTCCGAAGTCATGAGAATGACCACAATTGCTTTACTCTTGCAAACTTTGTAAGTCAATTTGACATATTTGCTAAGAGTGAGAACAAGTTTGACTGCCTTGTCAAAGATATGCTTTGAATACGCTGGCTCGGCCTCGACTGAAGAATTTACGCCAAGGTCGTTGTTTGATGCGTCATGGTAACAATTTCTTCAACTCCACTGGGTCTTCTGGCTCTCTCAGAATAATCATCTTTCTCTTGATAACGGCGCCATTTGACACTGATACGTCGAGTTTTTAATTTAAGTTATGTATTTAATGAGTCCCAATGGTTACAAACTTAGAATTACATGATTTTGTTGGACCTATTGTAAAAATGGAGTTGTGTAACTTCGTCAGTAACCTCGAATCACTGTCATATTAACTCTTATTCGATACGCGAACAACTCGTTGTATCGCATCCACTAGAACAAGAAAACTGAATTTCTTATGAGTAAAGTACGGATAGGCGATAAAACCGACCTAATTTATTCATCAACCGTGGGTGAGTATGAGCAGCAAAGACTCGCGGGGCTGATGGTAATCAGAGAACATAATCAGAACTCAGTAATATTCGGTCATGTTGGACAGTAGCGTGCGAGCAGGCCCGTATCATTAGGGACCTTAAGAAACCACGACGGCGACGCCAAGGAAGACTTCGATTAAAAAATGAATTTCTACTCTTAGTTAGAATTTCAAAAATGGTTGCAGGAGCTTACTGTCTCATTTAGCGCCACAGCTCAACTTCAGCATGATGTATAAAGTAGCCGTTGAGTTCCAAGTGGAAATTAAAATAATTTGCCGTCGCGGTTTCGGTTCGCAGACGACGCAGATTTTGGCGATTTCACGTTATCGTTTTGCATAGGACGGCTAAGAAATGTACAAAGTTTCAAAACGCACGTGCTGAGCTATTGTTCTACCAATTAGATCTCTTGTTTTTCCACGTCCTCGTTCCAGTCGCCGTCGTGGTTTCTTAAGGTCCCTATTAGCGCCGCAAGACGTGCTTTGCTCCGCCTGCGGAAGATGGGAAGAGGCTAGCCGGGGGGACCCAACTCTAATAATAACTATTAGTATAATTTCAGAGCTGAGCAAAGAGTTTCCAGCAATCTGATTGGTCGAGCGGTTCCTTATATGACGCTATATAAACCGCTCCACGCGGCTTATATAAAATGTTAAAATAAAATGTTAATAAATGTTACTAAAATGTTATGATTTTAGAAATTTCTCTGTTGCTCAGTTCTGAAATTATACTAAAACAATTATTCGCCTCAGGTTCGGTGATTATTGTCGAATATTCCCCTCGACTTTGTCTCGGGGATTATTCGACAATATTCACCTCGCCTTCGGCGAATAATTGTTAATTAGTGTTAAATCCATTGCAGGTCTCAAGGCTGATAATATGGGTATATCCGCAGGTTGTAGTTATAAAGGTAATCCATCGAACTTAAAGCTAGCTTAAGATTATGTCTACCAGACTTTTAGAGCCAACTTCGTATTAGACTTCAGAGATCTTTACGACACTTAGAAAATGAGTTTGGGACCAGACGAGCTAAGGAGACGGCCACTGTCATTTCACCATTTTCAGTTGTTGCTAACCGTGATCTCAACAGACTTCATATTCGTCTTTTCAAATACCCTTAGCACACATTGGTAGACTCCGCTGTCCTCCATTTGAGCGTTTGTTATCCTTAGGACAGCTTGCACCCGGTTGGTGGACTTGTCTTTCACTATACTGACCATTCTATCCTGGACTGACGCACCACCATTACTGATATCTCCTTTCTTCCATTGCAGCTGAGTCACTGACACGCCTTCTGATTCACACGTGACATTTGTGCTTCCGCCTGTCGACACTTTGATTGGATTGGCTGGTTCCAATTCAAAATAGTCAGGGAGTCGAGCTGCAAATTAAACAAAGAGATTACTACACCTCAGCCTTTTAGAACTACCTCAACAACTTGAATCTTATGAACATTGGTATGCGGTCCACATTTACTCGGGCGACTATAGAGGCCTGTTACTTCCAGAGCTTATTCAGATTTCTGCAGATGAAGTACCTCTAGTCCATTGCAGGGGACTACCTTGCACTGACGTATAATCCTAAATCTATCGAAATCCTGTATCTGAAAGAACCATCGTTTTGCTAATCCAAATTTCATTTGTAAATTTGTACCGCTAGATAACAACAAGTGCAACGATTCTAGAAATTCTCTTTACCTTGGCTGACGATTAAATAACCTCGTCCAGATGGCCAGCGAATAATCTCATTTTCCTCAGTTTTGGCCTCACAAGCATACAATCCCTGGTCCTTTTGACTTAAATTCAGAAGTGTAAACACTTGACCCTTTAACATAAGCTTCTTTGCGTCGATTTTTCTCTCCCTAAAAGGTGCCAGGGGATGGCGTCTGTAATAAAGAGATGCTGTAGCATTTCTGTCGTTAGTGGAACAGTTTATCATCAACCTCCGGCCCTGGTATCCGTGCAAAATCACATTTGGTTTGACGAGGAAAGTTAATGGTTCTGCAAAAAAGTTGACAACTAAACAAAAGTAGAATGAATAAAGGGTGAACGTTTCTAAAGAAACTGTGGTGCTGCGTCGGTGGGGGTAACAAGGTAATTGGTTATACAATGAATATATGAAGTTCATATATTTTGAACTGCGGTTCATCGTATTTGATTTATCATCACGGGTTTATTACGAAACAACTTAATGGCCTGCTCCCAGTCGGCTTGTTAGCTCAATTGGTAGAGCGCTGCACTAGTATCGCAGAGGTCAGTGGTTCGAATCCCGTACAGGCCTGATTTTTTTCGGGTCTGATTTTCGCTATTGCATAAATTGCGCTATCTACTGCGAAGGATCGTGCATCATACGTGTAATTGGCTACATCAACTAAGTTGAAACTGTAAATTTGCCACCGTAACGAGTTAAAAAGCTGACGTTTCGAGCGTTAGTCCTTCTTCGCTCTGACGAAGGGCTAACGCTCGAAACGAAAACAAAAGTAGGTTTGCTGGTGGTCTACAACTGAAAAGCCTTTTGGACATAAGAAGTCTCGTAAGCTTTTCTTTCCTTGGGAACTTGAGGCCATGAGAAAAGATTCTTCATCGGCCTTCGAAATAATGAATGCAACATAGGAGGCGTATTTTGTAAAAAAAAATTATAGTTCAATTGAAAAAAAATCTGCAATGATGATAAAATGAACAAGGGAACCCTCGTAGGCCGTAGGATTTATTTAAAATACCTCTAACATGTAATGACGTCATCTTGTGGTCTGTCTTGTCAAACACCCTCAACACACATTTGTAAACACCAGCATCTTCTGGCTGAACATTTGAGATCTTAAGGATGGCTCTAACTTGATTTGTGGACCTGTCCTTATCAACAGTAACAAGGTTACTTGGGACAGAAACATCCTCTTTGTTGGTTTGTTTTACCCACTGTAGTTTGGTTTCTGACACACCCTCTGATTCACAAGTAATAGTTACTTGTTGTCCTTGTCGTACAGTAACAGCTGTTTTAGGCCTTAAAACGAAGTGATTTGGTAATCCACCTGCAACAAAATAAGGGAAAAATACAAGATTCATATTTGACAGGAAAGTGCCCAGACTGTGCGTGTTTGTGCCGCTGGAGCTCAAAGTCACAGGTCTCCCACTGGAATATTTCATAACCATGTGCTATTTACTATGACCAATTCTGAGTAACGAGTCAACAACATATTATCCGTTATGACCGCTTCTATATAAAATGGCCTTTTTTTTATTCAATTTCTCATAATTTTTCAAGTCACGGGAAAGTTGATGTTTTGTTTGGAGACAAATCAATTGGCTAAAATCCTGTGAATTACCTTACCTCGAATAGGAATCAAATATCCTCTGCCATGTGGCCATCGAATGTTCCAACCACCCCGATTACTCGCCTGGCAGGAATATATTCCAGCATCTCTGCGTTCAACATTTAGAAGAGTAAAAACTTTTCCTTTCCTCAATAGTTTATTTTCTCTAAGATTCAGCTCATGGAAGGAAGCAAGCGGATGCTGTTTGTATAGAAGAGACACTGTTGCTTCCCGATCATTTGTCGAACAGTTAATGACTACATTCTGGCTCAGATATCCTCGTATGATTACTGGTGACTGGTCGAGAAATTCTAACGGTTCTGTTGGGAAAACCAAGAATACGCACATGCACAACTTTGACGAATTACAGAAATTTTAGAGTCTCAATGAGATAGGGTGAGTAATATCATTGGCAGTCCAGACTTAAGGTGTAGCTATCTTGGGTTCTAATGCAATTATAGAACCCTTTTGTTGCCTTTTAAGGCTGCTCAGATATGAATTTTTATCTGATACACGTGTTTATTGTTTATCAGCAATCTTACAATAAGAATAGTTTCAGTTCTGGGCCCTTTGTTCCTTCTGCCCATCCTACTCTGAGAATGTTAGCTCATGAGACACCTAAACTTGCACAGAGACTTAAACTGGTCCAAGTCTGTCTTCATCTAACATGTCCGCTAAGATGCACGTGCACATGTCTGCATCGCCAAACAAGCATTCCATCACGTGGGCTTACTTCTCACACTCCTTATTCAATCTACTCGTTTCTTTAATCTCGTAAACTATTGTAATCAGGTTTCCTTTAGTATCAAGAAAGGGAATTGAATTCACTTCACCTTCATTAATAATCAAATATCCTGTTCCCGGAGGCCACCGAATCTTGTCATTTGCTTCGTTTTTAGCCTCGCAGATGTAGAATCCAGCATCTCTTAAACCGACGTTGAGAAGTTCGAACGCCTGTCCTTTCTTTAAAAGTTTTTTTTCTTCTGGCTTCAGTTCGGCAAAGGCCACAAAGGGATGGCGCCTGTAAAAAAGGGACACTGTAGCATCTTGGTCATTGGTGGAACAATTTATCAGTATTTCTTTGCCCAGGTATCCTTTTAAAATATTCTGTGGTTTTTTAACAAAGGCCAAGGGTTCTGCCGAGAAAAACAAGTGCAGTAGATGAGGAAATGTCAAAATAATTCTTATGAAATTTGAATAACTTCCGAAAAATTAAGAATAATAAAATAGTACAAATTTCTTACCACTTCGAACAAGTTTGATGATATGAAAATCACTTCCCAGTTTATTAGACGCCAGACATCTGAAGCTCGCAGTTGGTTGATTACTTTGAACTTTGACCACACTCTTTTTTATCGGTAAGTTTGGAGGAGACATAAGTAGACTTTCAGGTACGGGCATCCATTGACTTTCAACTGGCTCACAAGCGCTTGTGTTCAAAGTGAAACAATCCATGTTTTGATATTCCCACTTGAATGTTGGCAGAGGATTCCCTTTGTTCACCACACAAGACACTTTCGACCCCTTGCCGTTACCACTGAGCACCTTGTATGGTTTTTGTATTAATCTGGGCGGAGCTATAAAGGATAATTAACACGTGGTGTTTTAGTTTTACAGAATATAAAAATTAATGATTTGGGTAAAGGGGTAAAGAAAGGCGACTTTGCTGGAGAATTGCATTTGCAGTAACATTGCCAAACCAGAAAAAGTGAGCAATGAACAAGACAAGGCCCCAGAAATCTGCTTCTTTTCATAAACAAACATGATTTTTGTTTACTTTCCGGACCGTTGGGCCACCGACGTGAGTGTCAGGTAACCAAATTTTGAGTGCAAATACAAAAGTTAACATCGCTTTAAGTTTAATCATACCTAAGACGTTTAGATTGATGATTAATTTTGCAGGTTGGGCGTGACCGTTTGTTGCAACACATTCAAATTTTCCTTGATCTCTTGAGTATACTGCACTTCGTATTTTAAGAACTTTTATAGTCCTAGTATTCTTTCCCCGAAACTTGCGTTCTTTAGGCTCTTCGTAAACTTCATACGCAATTCCCTGGCATCTGACATCACTTAAATTGGAACACTTCATCGTAGGCAGCTTCTTGCCGTTTCTGTACCAGTCTACGTCAGGTTTGTGGATTGCTGTTGCTATGCATTTGATGACCTTTATCGAGCCTTCTCTTACGGTTTTTTCTCTGACAATGGTTGGCAGTTCGTCTGTTGAAATGTTAGAACAACCATTTATTGCAATTTTCTGCTAATAATCATTACACGATCTTTGTTTCCACACGAATCATTTTCATTAATCCAAAACAGAAAAAAGAAAACAGAATTGTACACAGAGAAATGTTTCGACAACCCCTTTTTAAAAATTATACCTCGAAATAGCTTTTCACTGATCACTATGTTCAGTTTAGCTGTTTAAATGAGGCTTGATTGAAGTGGAATATGGGTCTTTAAAAATGAATTTGTAACTTCCTCTTTCCGATAACTTTTTTTTTTTTTAATTTTCTACGGCTGTTTGCTGCGGTTGGTAACCTTAGTGAAAAGGATAATCAGAGAAATTAAGATTTCAAACCTCGATGCTGGACATCTGGTGCTGTTGTGATAAGCAGAGGAGTTGTAAAGTCTGAGGTGACGTCTGGGAAACTAGTGATTTCTCTAGTTGGGTTGTAAGGAGGTTCTGTGGCGTCCGATGTTGTTATGACTTCTCGTACTGCTGTGGCGTATTGATTTGCCACAGTGACAGTCTTCGTAGTTGTAGCCTCTACTGTTGGTGCAGCATCTTTCGCAGCTGAAAAATATGGATGTTTTGTGGAATCTGTGGGCGCTGAAGCTCTTGTGGAATCCACCATTGCCGTGGAAGCTGGGGTTTCAGAGATACCTTGGATTACTGTCATGAGTACAGCAACTGTACTATCTGAAGCTGGGGTAGAATCTGATGTTGCTGTTATAACTTCGGCTGTTGAAATATCTGAGATTGACTCGGTAACTGGCACCGTTGTAGTCTCTGAAGCTAATGTTATATCTGTATTCGTTGAGGTCTCTAAGGGTGTTGTCATGTGTGGCTCTGCCGTGGTGTACGATGGTGATGCGGTATTCTGGGCTATCTTAGTATCTGAGACAGATGTTGTGGCGTGTGGAATCGCTGAAGTATCTGAAACCATTGTAATTTTCCGTGTCTCTTTAGTTTCCACGGTTGTTGTGATAGCTGAAGTTGTTGTGGTATCTGAGAATTCTGCGCTACTGCGAGGGAAAGTTGTTGGAACGATACCTGCTACTTCTGATGAATCAGCAGTAGTGTCTGGAATGGAAGAGATGCTCACTACAGCATCGGTATTTGAGATTGGCGCTGTATTTGAAACAGTAGTGGAAGCGGTTGACCCTGGGACTGCTGTAACTGGGGTTATTGCTGATGTGGTGACTGAGGTTTCTATGGTATAGGGGTTAAAGTTATCAGAGCTTGTTGAAGTGTCTGAAGAAGAAACAGCATTCGTGACTGAAGCGTTATCTGAGGTTGACGCCAACTTAGAAGTTAATTTTGAATCTTGGGTTGACGTGCTACTTATGGAAACTTTGCTCTCTGCAGTAGAAATGGTAAAAGGGGTAGCTGTGGTGTCCGTGGCAGCTGCTGATGTGATATCAGGGGCAGCTTTGGCAGTGGCAGAACCCGAAGCATCAGTTGTACCTGTGACTGTAGTAGGATCTAGGGTCGTTAGTGTATCAGGATCTTTAGCGTTGTTACCTAAGGTTGGAGAAGCAGCTAAGTTGGGTCTGGTATCTGCGGTGACTGCTGATGTGGCATCAGAAGTTTCTGTGGCAGGTAAAGTAGCACTAGTGTAAGGAGCTGTTTTATCACCTGAAGCAGTGGTACTTTCTCCGACTGAAGAATGATGAAATGTTGATGTCGAATCATCCGGAGACGCTGTGGTAGCTCTGATCGACGAGGTAGGTTGGGAACTTTCGGAGTCAAGGGCTGTTGTGGTATCTTCAGTGGTAATGCTATCAAGGGCTGTTGTCCTATCGGAAGCAGCAGTAGTCTTCAGGATTGAAACAGTTTTTAAAGTTTGTTTTGTGGCTGAAGTCACTGTTGTATGAAAAGTTGCTGAGGTAACTGGGGTGGCTGCGGTATTTAGGGTACCCTCGGTATCTAAAGTGGTAGTTGTTTTAGGGACCAGCGTAGGATGTGATTTCGATGAAAGATCTGATGTTGATGTGGTGACTGGGCCAAAAGTGGTACTTTCAGCTCCAGCGGCAAACGAGCCAGGTGTGCTATCTGGAGTCTCTGCATTAGGGGCAGTTGTGGTATGTATTGATGGAAGAGGTTGGCCTATGTGACAATGATTTAAAAGTTACATAAGTAATTTATTAAGGATAATTAATTGATAAACAGAAGTGGTCAATTATAACCTTGAGTTTGAGATAAAAGATTAACATGTTATTACATACCTTCCATGTAAACGTTAAGTTCTGCAGTGGCCTGTATTTTTCCCAAGTAGTTTTCTGCAAAGCACTGATAAGGTCCCATGTCGGACAGCACAAGCATCTTGACCAGCAAGTATCCGTCTCCAATATCGTTGAAATAAGATTCCTCAATCACGTCTCCATTTCGACTCCATGTGATAACCGGTTTGGGTATTCCGTCAGCAAAGCATTCAAACAGTGCATTGGAATCGGAGTAAGCATGGACATTATTTGGTTTCTTGATGAATACAGGGGGATCTGTGGAATAAAACAAAAACCTTGATCATATACCATGTTTACTCGTCTAAGCCTGCCGTCGGTTATCAGAGCCTCTTTCGATTTTTTCAGTCGGTGAACAGGCGCAGAATACAATTGTAGAGCAAGAAAGGAAAGGACGTTTTGGATGAGTCACGCAAACCTCTACCATTTTTTTTGTGCCACGTTCACCCACTGAACACGTGGAATAAGCTTTGTTTATTTAATATTTAAAACTCGGATAAGGCAGTTTTTTCGGGTGGCGGTTGCCCAAAAATCACCAATCTGAAAAATGATTTATTTCCCCTTTATGTGGAGATGCATGTTAATAACCTGTTCGAACTGATATAACTTACGATGTACTTCTAGCTTGATTGAAGCTTCTTTAATGCCGTTTCGTGAAATTGCGCGACAGGTGTATGTTCCTGCCTGTTCCTCAGTTACTGATTCAATCATAAGGTTGTTCTCCCCAACAACAGAATAACCACTCCCGAGCACCACAGGCAACCCATCTAATAGCCATGTGACTCTTGGCTTAGGAAATCCGTTTGCAATGCATTCGAGTATGAAAATATCTCCAGCGATGACTCTTCTCTCGTCAGATGTGACGGAAACAGTTGGACCTCGAGGAAACTCGCTATCTATGCACCGGAAGAAGGGAAAATATAGCATAATAACGCACTCAACCAGGATACGACAACAAAAGAAATCGAATTTCAGCCATGTAACTAACTGACGTATTGACTTACTATGATTCCTCGTAAAACACCCGTGCAATACAAGGCATTGGTGTGTTATCTAACGAATGACCAACCTAACAATCAATATAAAGGCTGTTACTCTTTCTCAGCAGCAGGGGACTTCTTCCATGTTTCTAGAACCTCATCTGAAAACTTGTGTGGTTTGAAATTAGTTTGTCGACAGTCCTCTCAACCTCCCTGAGTGTTTGATGACTGGTACAGAGCCTGATGTGACATTAAATGTCTCTTTCCCCAAACATAAGGACAGCCTTATTTTGGGGTTATTTGAAAAGTACGATAGAAACACCTCCTCCTTATAGGACCAGTTTACGAATGGGATGATAAACTACTGATACGCTGAGTAGAAAAGGACTTTCCATTTAATTTTGCGGGCCAACTTTTGGCGCACTAGCATAAGAAATGGTCAACGATGACATGCTACCCATATATATCCTAAATATATCTTATATGTCCTACCCGTTATGACTTTAAGTGACGCTGTGATTGTACTCGTGTAACTCGTTTTAGTCACAGTATTTTCTGCCGTACATTCATAGTCTCCTTGGTCATTAAAACTGCTCTCGGCGATCTGTAAGGCTCCATCGGAAGTTGTTGTAAAACGTCCTCTAGACTCAATGAAGTTATTTTCTCCAAGCTTTCTCCATCTAACAACGGCTTTCGGTGTTGAATCGTTTACGTTGCAATAAAACCTTGATGTGTCTCCAAATGAAACTTGTAATTTGGATGGAGTAACAGCCACCTTGGATGAAATTTCTGTTGATCAAAAGCACATGCCATTTGATATTCTTACAGTCACTTTTGTCTTTGTTTCTTTCTTTAGTTCTTTTATGTGTTGATTCAAGACATTCAAGATGAATAGCTGCTCGGTCATTTTATCAACCGGAGGCAAATTCACCCCACGGCACGACTTCACTTCTTATCTTTGAAGTGTTCTCCAATGACGTTTTTCATAGACGCACTAGGAGCGAAGATACTGTACCGCATTCGAAATGCAGCACTCCACAAACTTCCCGATTCGCCTTCAGGTTTCTGTAAGTTTGACTCACTACGAATGCTAGATTACCTATTAAACATCATTTGCTACCCGTTTTTTCGGTATAAATAAAACCTCAAGCAATGTCATGGCAATTTTTTCTGACGGAGACGAGTTTCCTTTTCAATTTAGTAACAGAGGCTTGATGTGACTTACCAGCAACAACGAGACGAGCAGTTCTGCTCAAAATCTGGAAATCTAGATCCATGTCATTACGTGTTAACGCCTCGCACTGGTAGATTCCTTCATCTGAATTTTCAGTAGTGTTATGATTAACTTTCGAAAAATACAAAGACCCGTCCGGCCTTATCATTCTCCGGTCATCTTGCGATAAATCGAGTACAATACCATTTCTCCTCCATGCTATAGCGGCCTTAAGGTTTCCGCCTACCAAACAGTCCAGGACAGCGGATTTACCCCGCTGCGCATACGTGTCTCTCGGCTCCTTGATGAAATACGGTGCTCCTGTTGACCCCAATACTTCTAAATACATAGAATGATTAAAAAGACATGAAAATAAGATAGAATGAATAAATAAATGAGTACATAAGTGAACATGAACACACGTATTAGTGTAACTGTGTTTATTTCAAGCCTTGGTCCTATTCCTTCTTTCTACTCATACGTCCACTAAGATAACGCCACAATGTGAACTTAGCTTAACATTATAAAATTTTCTCGGCTGATTTTCTCCGCTGCAGTATTGATTACTAAAAAACATATTCAGTATACCTCTGAACTAATAATGAAATTTTCCTTTGTTCTGCAACGAGATAAAGTCTTAAACAGAAGACTGAATCCAATATAAGTTTGACTGAAACCTTGATTCGTTCAGCTGGATGAAAGGTAAATGTCGAAGAAAAAAAGAAGCGAATTGTTTAGAGGACTGCTTCATGAAGCAAGCCAAAAAGTAAATATATTGCATTACCAATACTAACGGCCAGAATTTGTGATGCAATTACTTCTGAAAATAAATCAATTAAAGAATCAACTATGAATAAAAAAGAGTCGAGACCCTTCACTTTAACATTTACAGTCGAAATAGTTCATTGCACAAGACCTACATAATCGTTTGCTTTTACGTTAAATATTGAATTTTAATTGCCTCGAATTGCTTGGCTGTAATATGCTTTACATTTGCTCACCCGACGACACCGGAAATTGCAAGCTATTCGTACCCTGCAGTGGAATAAGGATAGTTCGCCAAACTCGTCAAATTTTTTTCGGATATGTTACATCTCACCCCACGGGCAAGACAACTGCACTGTTTTCCCAGGTGAACAATTTAATCTAAGACAACGTTATCTCAGGACCATTGATAGCCATAACAAGAGTTTATGACCTGAGATTCGGCGAGACTGGCACAATTATCAACCGATCAGCTGTAAATGCAAACGACTACTTTGCTGTTTCTCTCCAGTCTCTGCTCGGATATGAATTGATATTAAAGCTTAGCTGCTTTACATCTTGCAATTACGAAGATAAGACGCTTGGCGCCTTGGAAAGACGTTGAACATTTCCGAATACCATCGCTTTAGAACAATCACGGAGCCAAAATACGTATTTTTTTGTTCCATTTCTTTTCAGGGACTGCTGGATTGTTAAGAGAGAGTCCTGGTTATTTCAACTTTAAAACTACACTACAGTTTCTCCTCTGATATCTAAAAAAAGCCTGTCGTGTTAACATCTGAAAAACATATTTTTTCAGTGTGACCCTAAATTATACTAGCCGATAATGTTTTTGATAAACAAACCTACCTCTTAAAGCTGCCTAATTAGATTATAATCTTTGTCGAGCTACATAAAAAAATTAGAAAGAAACCTTCATGACCCTTCTCGATGCAACCCAACACAATCTGTGAATAGCTTGTTTACAGGGGTGTGCCTTCGAAAACATTTGCCTGTTGAGAGCAAACAACGTTGCCCTACATGGATCGCAAAACATAAGAAATTACACCTCAGGTGGATTTCTCATGCTGCTAGGTCGATTATTATTTTGCAAAAAGAATTTTGTATAAATATATAGTACTGCCAATAAGACATGTCGGCTAAGATAGAGAGACATCATTTTACGGACTAACCTGGCATTACAGCGAGACCCAAAATACCAATGAGAGTACTGCGGAGAACATAAAGGTTAACCATTGCTAAAACTGCTCTAAACTTCAGTTTTTTTGCTTTGCCCTGACTATTCCTGCAACCTGCGAATGAATTAGCTAAGACAAGTATACCTCCTTCATAGAACACCAGGAGTTTTGATCACTCAGCCAATCAGGCTACGGAATTGCGAGTTCTCGATTACTGTTGACGGCAATTTCGTCAACCGGGTATGTTAAATATTTGTACCCTTAGAGGCATGTCATGACTTTACTGATTCTCGCCTGGCGACGAAACAAGGAATGTTTATGGTCCGAATTATGTCATGATTTCAGTTTTTATTGACGGGCGGTAGTTTTTGTCATTAGGCGGAATATTTAAGGTATCTGTACATCGCGTGATGTGTATGGAACAGCTACAGTCAGCACTTGACTGGCGGGAAACAGGACACGCGAATGTCGTAGAATGACGTTAATGTTACAGAGCAGCTTCCTTAAAGGGCCGGTAAACCCAACAATCGTACATTTTCTTTTCACATAGCTGTTTAAAAAATATATCAAGTACTTAAAATGTGCAATTCGTTTTTTCTCAAAAGTCCATTTTCACCTTGAAAAAGCCCTTGCAAATTCGAAACATTCGCCATCTTGAATTGCGCCATCTTTCTTGTGACGTCACGGGTGGAACCTTCCTGTACTGAGGTCAAAAGCTTTCTTTTACGATCGTGTGAGATATGTGCAAGTCTCCTTCGCAGCCCCTGTTTGCCGGTCTAGTCATGATTTTTTTACTTATAATTGGGTTGATTATATTAAAATGTTTTGTAATGGTAAAGCATTGTGTAGTCCAGTTTTGTAGTAATTCAAACAAAACCGGGCATACAATGCATAAATTTCCAAAAGAAGCAAATATGAAGCGACAATGACAATTTGTTCAAGTTAAAAGAGCCGATTTTGACGAGCCGTCCGAACATTCTGTTGTCTGTAGCAGTCATTTGTCTCCCGATTGCTATGAGAAAAGCTATATGGTCGAAATGGGTCTTTAAAAGCTAGCAAAAGCTACTTCTTCCTATTGCTGCGCTGACGATTCAGGCCCTACCAGAAAAAAATTCTTCGGAGGTAAAAAAGCGACCTTTGCATTCAGCAGACAGCGAAGATCCAGGGGTGACTGACAGTACTGAGAAACGACCGAGGAGAAGTAGAGGTCTTCAAAAGTTGGAAGTTAACAGGGTGAGTACCGAACTGATTTACGCGGAAACCTCCAGATTTTAGGTTCTCTTAAAACACCTTTCTCAGCTGTTAAAATATTATGGGGAAACCAGTTGTTCGGGAGCCAGTGATGAGCCCAAAAAAGGCATTGACCTGTTTGAACCTTTGCCGGAAACCGAAACAAGTATTAAGAAAGAGTTCGTTGATGTCGGTATACAATGCGATCTGGAATTTAGTTGGTTAAATATTCCCTGAACATCTACGGCGAGTGTGGGAGAGACAAAAATCTGTCTAAAGAAATCTTCGTAGAGAATCTTTGCCAGCCCCGCTTGCTGCTTTCTTTGAGAAACCCTGCAAAGAAGTAGCAGTTAGACAATTTGTGTCACGGCTTACACAGCGGTGGATTTGTAATCAAAGGTCCTTAGAGAAACATTTTTTTACTTTGAATAGAAATTAAAAGATCCAGAGATCAG